TCAGTTTCACAGGCATCTTCCCAACCCCTAGACTTGCCTCCACTGACTTCTCATCTTATCATCTGAGAGCCGAAGGCATTTTCTCCATCTTCGGGGTCCCAGATGAGTGATATCTCCATGAGATATTTCTGCAAGGTGCCCACAGCCCACAGGAGGGTTACAGCATAAGCCCACAGCCTCAACCCACATCCCAGAGGCTCCTCTGCTGCATGTCATCAGGGTGTCTCGCTGACCAGTGTTTGAAAAATGAGTCTCCGGAAGTCATTATGCAAAGTCGAGAGTCCCATTATAACCAGAAACACTTTGGGGATGGGGAGACGGGTCTCTGTTCTGAGTCATGAGTAAATTCATTTTCTTTGATGCAAAGAAATGACAGAAGCTGTGTTCTCGTCCCCCGAGCCCTCAGTTCCTATACCTGCAGGAACTGTGGTATATGGGTGCTGGAGGGAGGTGATGGTGACAGGGGTTCAAGCTGTGGAGTCAGTAGGGGAAATCACTACTTTTCAAGTCTAGGAGATCCAGAAGCCACTGTCCTCTTTTCTTTTTGGTTTTGCTCACACCTCACTGTGCTCAGGACTTACTCCTTCCTAGCTCTGCTTAGGGATCACTTTTGGTGATGTTCAGGGAACCCTACGCGGAGCCAGGGATTGAACAGCGGTCAGCCACGAGCAAAGCAAGTGCCCTAATCTCTATATTATGCCTCCAGCCCAAGCCACGGTCTTGAGGGTGGAGTTCAAAATAGGAACATCAGAAGAAAGAGAATACGGAGGTTAAAGTGAACGCCTTGCATGCTGACAACCCTGGTTCAATCCCCAGGACCACCCTGACACATCCCTGGGTGCAGCCCTGAGGGGCAGCCATCATCACAAGGTGTGGTCCTGAAAGCATCCAACACCACTGGGGTGATCTTGGTAATTCCCACACCGCAGAAATCCCACTAAACCTGCCGCCCACTTGGCTGAGTATCACTGGGAGCTTTAAAGGGAAAAAGCTTTTTTTAGTGGTTTTCTCTTCTATAACATCACTGTGAATTCCCTGACAAGCACTTCCTTCTGTAGGCAGCAACGGATTTTTTGGAGGCAGATTCTAAGTGAAAAGACTGGGTCAACAAAAGATGCACATTTGCTATTTCAGTAGATAACACACCAAATTGCTTGTCTGAGTGACTAAACATGAATTCAATCTCCTATTGGCAGTAGCCCTGCTCTTTTGGCCAACTTGGATGAAAATGGTACTTTCTTGAGTCTCCTTTATGATCTTTTCAAGTTCATAAGCCATGTATGTTTCCTTCCTAATGAATCTTTTCTCTATAATACCTGTCAATTTTTCTGTTGTATGTTTATCCATTTTTTTCCCACAGGAGTTCATCAACCCATAGGTGTTCTTTATAGATTCTGGAAATTAATCCTTTGCTTACTTTGTAAGTGTGAGTAGATTTTTCCCAGTCTTTGCTAGCCTTTCATCCTTTGCCTGTGTAATTTTTTAAAATTCAAATTGTGGTATTTGTACTTTGGTCTTAAAAGGTCTTCTCAATGCTGTTCATAAATATATATATTTTCAAATGTACTCATTCTCTTCTTTTTCGTGGTTAGCAAAAATTCTTCAGAAAATGTAGTGAATGGAGAAGCACAGCCCATGGTTCTTACCTTTATTATACAGTAAGTTTTCATGTATACCAAAGCTTCCATCTATGACCATGTATTATCTCTCCAGTTATGTCTTTTCCTCTAATTGTAACACTTCATAGATTTTGTGCACACTTCATTTTAATTTCATTATCAAGTACTCCTGAAACCTTTAGTAGTTTTCAAACATTGTCAGCTAAAGTGAATGTTTTACTTTCCTTTCCAATAGCTGTGGATTTTATTACTTTCATTTTCTTATTACACTGACTACAGGAAAAGTGGCAGATAATTCTGAACAGTCGTGGGAAGAGGGTGATCCTTGTCCTGTGTCTACTAGGTTTGCTTAGACATTTTTGCTAAGTTTGGATGGGAGATATAGTACAGTTGGTAAGGCATTTGCCTTGTTCTTGGTCCCCAGCACTACATATGGTCCGCCAAACCCTGCAAGGAGTAATCTCTGAGCAGAGAGCTACGCGTAAGCCCTGAACACAGCCAGGTGGGTTATCCACCCCTCATCTCCTAGTCCATCTGCTAGGTTATCTCTCTATTCCCAGGTTAAGGGAATTACATGCTATTCATAGCTTTTATTCATTTATGCGGTTGAATATCATTAAATGCTATTTTGACAGTTATCAAGATAAACATGATTTCCTTCTCCTTGAATCCATAGATTTTGGAATTAAACTGACACCACTTTCTATAGCTTTGAACTAGTTTTCCATTCCTAGAAAAGACCCTTTTTAGTTGTGTTTCTACATCTTAGAGCACAGCGGGTAGGGTGTTTGCTTTGCATGCGGTGACCCGGGTTCGATTCCTCCACTCCTCTCGAAGAGCCTGGCAAGCTACTGAGAGTATCCTGCTCACACAGCAGAGCCTGGCAAGCTCCCTGTGTTGTATTCGATATGCCAAAAACAGTAACAACAAGTCTCACAATAGAGACATTACTGGTGCCCTTTTGAGCAAACTGATGAACAACGGGAGGACAGTGCTACAGTGCTACAGATTTATGTCTGCATTTATTTAATTTTAAAAGCACAAGTAACTTTATAATAAAGAAAACTTCCACTAAAAAAGGAGCTACATGTTGCATTATTTCTTAAACAAAAAAAATATAAAGATATGCTTAAAGTTAGTTTAAAAAGAAAATCTTGCCTGTAAATGAAATGTTTGCAAAATGAACAAATGCAACGTGCTCTAAACTGTTCTACTTACTAAATTCTCTAAGTGGGATAATGTTAGCAAGGAATCAATGACCCCATTGTCAAAGTTTGGTTAATAGTTTTCTGTTTTGGGTTTTGGACTACATCCAGTGGTGCTCAGGGCTTACTCCTAGCTCTGCACTCAGGGATCACTCCTGGCAGGCTCGGGGTACCATATGGGGTGCAAGGGATGGAATCAGGTCAGCTGAGTGCAAGGCCAGTGCCTTACCTGTTGTGCTATCACTGCAGTCCCCTACTATTATACTTAAATTATTTATGCATCTTGACCCATTCATCAAGACAAAACACATGCTTTACTCCTTATTAACGCCCCAGGAGTCTGGATTATTTGTGCATTCAGTATTTTGCTTAATGGCTAAAACAATTAAAAAATAATAGAATTCTTATTTTAAAGAAAATTCTAGTAATCTTTCAACATAGCAAAGCACCTTCTGACTAAGCTAATTGAGCTTTCCAAGTTGACTTTTCAGAAATAATAAGTTTCCTTGAGTTAGTCAATATATATTCCTCACAGAAACTAATCTATCCCAGGGCAATTTTAAGGATTCCAGGAGTACTTCTAGAGGTAACCAACATCTCTACAAGTTCTAATTTGATATGATGGCTTTGAGGTCCCCTTGAAACCACAACTATTCACGTGCTGGGAGTCAGTGTTATTATAAACCAAAATTATTATTATTATTATTATTAAGTAATCCATAACTTAGATTTATTTTCATTGAAAAATATTTTTTTCCAAAAGAAAAAATATGCTGTTATCTTCTCTTCTAATGAGTTTGGTTTCATAACAGATTATTCCTAAAGTCATATAACATCTTGGGTGAGAGGGGGAATAATAATTGAGCAATGATACCAATGTAAGTTGGAAAATGGATAGAAAAAAAGAAGAAACTCTCTTTTTTTGCAGGAGGGAAGACATTCAGTGATGCTGAGGGATTAGCCTGTCTGGGCACTTAGGGATCACACCTGGCAGTGCTTAAGGGGCCATGTGGAATGTCAGGGATCAAACCTGGTTTAGTCATATGCAAGGCAAATGCCCTACCCCTCTGCTATCTCTCAAGCCTGCCCCAATAAGAAACTCTTTTACATCAGAAAAACCAGCCTAATATATACACATTTCAGTGTCATATGAGGGGGGCATCACTGTGATAATGATGGCACTGATGGCTGTAAGACACTGTCATAAAGGCCAAGGATGTGATTCAGTGTTAGAGCAAGTGTGCAGCATATGTGACGCCCCAAGTTCGGCCCTGAGCACTTCCAGATGTGACCCTTGTTAAAAGCAAACAAAAGTCCTCTTACACTCTTTAGCTGTAAAAGATAGTAAGTCTGGTCAATAATTTCATAGAAATTATTCAAATAAATATATATATTTTTAAAGACCCATTTTGTTTTTCAGCCACACCTCGAGATGCTCAGGGGTTACTCCTGGTCCTATGCTCAAGGGAACTGTATGTGGTACCAGGGATTGAACTGGGGTCAGCTGCCTGCAAAGCAAGTGCCTCTACCATGTTATCTCCTTAAACCCACATAGTCTTCTAAAAACACACACCATGCAAGTCTCCAAAATCACCCTGGATTTCCGAAAAATAGTTACAAACTATAAAGAACCAACATTCCCTGATAATTTTTTTTATTAACTTTCTTTCATTAAATTCAGGGGTTGGAGAGATAGCACAGTGGGCAGGGCATTTGCCTTGCACACGGCTGACCGGGTTTGATTCCCAGCATCCCATATGGTCCCCCAAGCACTGTCAGGAATAATTCCTGAGTGCAGAGCCAGGAGTAACCCCTGAGCATCGCTGGGTGTGACCCCAAAAGATAAATAAATAAATAAAAATAAATTCAGGGGCTGGAGTGATAGCACAGCAAGTAGAGCACTTGACCGTACGTGCAGCCGGCCTGGGTTCAATCCCCACCATCCCGTATGATCCTCAAGCACTACCAGGAGTGATCTCTAAATTCAGAAACTGGGGCAATCCCTGAGCATTGCTGGGTACGGTCCCAAAACAAAACAAAACCCAAAAAAACCACACAAATTCAAATAATACTTTACAACCAAAAGACAGAGAGAAAGAGAAGAGGGGTGGGGGGTCGGGGGAGATCTGTAAAGGGAAAACACCATAGACTGTAATTCAAATAGCAGAATTTGGGATTAATTTTGTAAATTTATTTGTCAATCTCAAAAACTCACAGTGGAATAAGGAGCTTAGTACAGGTATGCAAAAGGGAAACCCGTGAGGTTTTCACCAGGATGAACTGGGATTAGCTTTGTAGTTCCTGTAATCTTCTTCACAGAAGAATGCAATTTCAGTTTCATTGGCTATAAGAGAAAAGCAGAAAATGGGAAAATTATAATTTAAAACTTACAAAACTAGGTTTTAAACAAGTAAGGAAATCCCAATTATTCCGATTCAGTGCTTCAGATGCCTCAAATGAAAAAGATGAGTTACTTGTTGGGTTTTACATTTTTTATCAATAAGAAGTACAAGTTGGAGATAACATGAGTCTAGAATTCAAATAAATTAAAGGTGAAATGAAAATTAGGAAAAACAAGAGCAAACAAAAGAATCGGGTTTTCAGGAAATCATAAAACCACTCATTTATAGTCTCCATAACTATCTTAGAAAAAGACAATCTCTTTTTTTTTCCAGATTTGCTATTCAGTTACTGAAGGCAGACGAAAAACTCCTCCCCCCACCCTGAAATTAGCCTGTAGGTATAATAATTTAATACTTAGAGGATCAGTAGAATATTTTACAGATCACTTTACATTCTCCCTCATGACCCATCAAAATATGTGTCTGAAGAAGTTAATTTTTTGCCTGCTTATGATTAATTCATGAGGCTTCAACAATATGCAAAGTGAAAGACACAAATTGGCTTCTACTGCAATACCTTCAAATACCTCTAATTATTCACAGGGGATCCGGCATAGCTAAAGGACCCACAAAGGTTCAGAGCAGTCACCATTCTTTCAACCTAGCAGGTCAAGGACTCTGTCTTCTAAAACAATAAGTCAGCAACATTATTAATTCAGGCTGGAGACAAATCTGATGGAAAGCCTTCCAATTATTAAACATGCAATTCTTTAAGGTGTTGCGCCAACAAGTTCCACATTCATTTTTTAAAATTAAACCAGAAGTTAATACAGTCTGCTTAGCTTTTACAGAAAGAGCAAAAGGGCCTTCAGAATCCCGACAAGAAAACAGACAAGATTATTTGTAATGAATACTGAGCACTCAATTAACATATCCTCTTAAAAACAGACAAGTAAAACTCTTCAAGCCAAATAAATAGGATAAGGAAGGATGACAAGGATTACCACGCTCTCTTCACAACTCTCATCTCATCACTGGAATTTATCACAAAAGAATGGAATTAAAGAGCTTAGCGTGACATTTCATTACAGATGTTTCTGCTGGTATTAAAAATATCAAATTAAATGTTTCTCAATCTTAAGTTATATTTGTTCATTACAGAAAAACAGAAAACTACTGAAAGAAAATGAAGTCAGCACAGTCCGAGGCCCTTATTCCAGCCCTATTGTATCTTCAAGATTAAATAAAGATGAATCTTGATGAAAACCAGCTTGTGAATTTTTGGCAGAATAAACCGGGGGCTTGGGGGTGGGGGTCAGGCAGGGAGTTCTCTGCAGAGAAACTGGGAAATCGATAAGGGAGATGTAAACAAAAGCGCCCTGGACAAAAGGTAAATTCAAGTACAGTTACGTTTTACAAGAAAATGGCATTTCAAAGAATGGGTGAGATGCACCACACTGGGTATCAGTAAAAAGTTTTGTTCTGCTTATTTTAGAAATAAATAAAAGGAGGGTCCTCAAAAAATGCAATATTCAAAGGTAAAAACATTTTGAAACCCATCTTCTTAGAATTTCCTTTGGAAAGGAAAGAAAGCCCCGCAGGCAGACCTGTATCATTTGCAAATGATTCTAGTCATCTTCCTAATGGATGATGAGAGCAAACGCACCAGCTCTTAATAATCACAGAGCAAAGTCTTATCTACGATATGCTATTTACATACAGAACTTCACATAGTGCTTTGCCCACACAGCATTTAACTGGGTACAGGCAAACTGTAATTACAATCTTCACTTCCAGCCGTTGACATTTCTCTGTATCCCTTCAGAGAAACTAATACATCGTACAGCGCTTCAGAATAGTACTAACAGGTTCTGAATAAGCTGATGTAAAAGACTGACAAAGCATTTTTGTCTTGCCACTAGGTTCCCTTGGGCCTAACTAACTTATAGATGAATCCATTATTTATATAAAGAATTTATGCCACCTCTCATAAAACAGCTAAAATGAGATGATCTGGGGTCAAGATTTAATTCTTCCTCTCCTAATGAAAGGACTTTTGTTTCTAGAATAACAAATAGATTACACTTGAATACTTCTGATTGATAAAGCTGGTAAAAAAAAAAGCATTGTTTTCCCTGATATTTACATGGTGGAAAAAGTAATACTAATTAATAGTTTCTCAAAAGATTCTTTGACATAAAACGGATTTTAAGGTTTAGTAATGTGATCCCAAAATAGATATAAAGCGTTTTTTTTAATCTATAAAGCTCTGTTGAAAATGTTTGAGAAAGATTTCATGTACTTATCCTGTAAATTCACTGGCCAATTAAAGTAAAAATGAATCACAAAAGATGCTCAAGGACCTCTACATAATCACCCTTTCCACTATTATCCACATTCTTGTTTCCCAAATTCTACTTAAAATGGCTCCGGAAGAACCCTCAGGAAGTCTGCTGCGTGCCAGTCCCCCAGGGCACCTGATTTTAAATTAAATGTGCTGCGGGCGGTGCACGCGGATACAGAGTGCCTCGGCATGTGAATCCGAAATGAATGTGCAATCTAAAATCCAATAAATACACCGGTTCATCCCTTCGTCTCACTATCAAATGAAATCAAGTAAGAACCCTTCGAGTACATCTGTGGATCATTGTAATGCTGCCTTTCAAGCCTGATGATATGAATACAAGTTGGGACATTCAAATTTTGGATATGACGCTAATAATTTTGTGTTTCTGCACACATACCTTTTGAGAAAAGAAGGGCTTTAAATGAAAGAATCTAAGAAAAACTAACGTTAAATATAAAATATCCAGAAAAATTAAATGCAAGGTCCTGAAACTCTCAACTGACTCAACAGCAATAAACTTATCAACATTTTGTTGCAGTTTCTAAGTCCCTAGCCCCAGACGCTCTGGGTATGAAAGCAGTACCAAGGCACAGGCACGGCTGCCTGAGAACAGAGCAAACCCTGTACACTGTGTGCTACAATGAGTTAATGAGCAGGACAGGCTGTGCTGTAATGATAATTGCAGGTATGAGCCCAGCCAAACTGCACATGAAGGGGCAGGGCCTGGTTTCACAGCCATCCGAGATCTAAAGGACAAAGTTTCACTGTCCCTCCCGTTTAAGGACCTTCCTTCCAAATTCCACAAAACCTAATCGACAAGCCATTCATGATCAGGCTCCCTACCGAGTTACATTTCTCAGCTTTCAGGGAAGGAGGGCAGTAACCCAGAGTCAAATAAATGCCTGGTTACTGTGCGGAGAGCCGGCAAGCTACCGAGAGTATCCCGCCCGCACAGCAGAGCCTGGCAAGCTCCCCGTGGCGTATTCGATATGCCAAAAACAGTAACAACAAGTCTCACAATACAGACGTTGCTGGTGCCCGCTCAAGCTAATTGATGAAATAAATGGGAGGACAGTGCTACTCTGCATTTAATTTAATTTTCTACTTGTTTCAAACATCCGCTTTTAGATTAGCTGGAAGATTTCAGTGTAATGTGTGAAGAAATTAGCGGTGGGGGGAATCTATCCTCTGATAAGACTGTTCTCACGCCTGAGGTTACCAGGATGTGGAGGGGAGGATGGAAACGGAGGGATCACCTCCCTTGTTCTCCCCTGAGCTCTGGAATGCCAAAGTCCCTGGGGAACCCCTGTATCTGCTTCACTGAACCTAATTAAGGCCATGAGGATGTCAGTCTGCAGGACAATCCTCTAAACAAGCCGTGCAGGAAGAAAACCTGTTGCTGCCCTCAGACGCCACCTCCCCACCCCAAAGAGGAACAGAAAGGGCCCCAAATCACCAGGCAACAGAACTCAAACAGGCTCCGGATAAAGAAGAGGTCGGAGAACATCACCACCGTAGCTGTGTGAAGGAGAGGGCTGGCGACAGGACTCCGGATGCCGGTGACAGGCAGAACAGAGAGGAAACTAACCACAAGAGATCAGGTCCAGGTGGCACCCGAACTCTTCCCAGGTGGCTGGACGCCCACCGCGTCTAATATGAAAAATATTTTCAGGCAAACGTGACTGGTGTCAGGAGAGTTATCCTGGCACAATTTCTTTCCTAAACCGGGGGGAATTCAACAGAGAGAGAACCACAGGATGTAGCAAAACAAAAGAGGGGAAAACTAATACCCACCCCACAGAATGCTAAGGGGCCAGTGCATTACTGAAGGGAATTCATTTGTCAAGCTACAACTGTTAGCAACAAGGTAAGAATTTGTTCTAAGCAACAGTTCCTGTTAAAGCCGCCTTCTTTCTTCCTTTGGCAAGGCAAACCTTCTTCACTTATGTATCCTAGCACTAAGTCCACAAGCAAAAACTTCCCCTGCTGTCAGGCAGGGAATATACAATTGGGATCTGCAATGCAGATAAAAGGCCCAAGTAGGAATTGGGGAGTTTCTCTGGGAGAAAGAGAAATCATCAAACAAGTTTGTTACCCTAGTTTCTCCTGCACAGCTTTTCTTTGCCTTTCATGAATTTTGTCGAAAAGTCATAATGATAAATTTGTTACACTGGCATGATTCCCATGGCAACTGGCCGTGATGGACAAGGCACAGCTCTACAGCAGGATCAGTGGTAAAAAAGGAAGCGTGAAGGCTTAGAATTTTTTTTGGGGGTCAAACCCAGCAATGCACAAGGGTTACTCCTGGCTTTGCACTCAGAAATCACTCCTGGCGGTACTCGGGAGACCATATGGGATGCTGGGAATTGAACCCAGGTCAGCCGCATGCAAGGCAAACGCCCTACCTGCCGTGCTATCACTCCAGTCCCAGAATTTTTCTTATACTTCTTAAAATCCTAACCAAACATAAGCACCAAGGCAGGGGAAGTTCCCCAGAAAAATCACACACTTCAAGGGTTATTTTCTCAACTCGACTTCCACTTAAAGATTTTTCACTGCTTTTCAGCATTATCTGGTGCTTTTTTTCCCCCCAGAGCCCAGCAACAAGGCTCCAGGAAAGGAGGGGACAGCACAGGTGAGGGACACCCCCCACCCCAATCCATCATCCATTCACTCTCCTTCCACCCCCATGCACAAATACCTGAAATCACCCATGACCCAGGCTGCATGCTTTCGGAGCAGGAGGGCACTGTGAAACCCTTAAATCATTCCTCACAGTGAAGGAGAGTGGGCAGGGCTCGATTCTGATCAAAGACAGATTCCAACGAGCAAAAGCGACACAGAGGGATTTGGTTCCCGTACTTACAAGTGGCTCACTACATACATCTGAAATTAATGACAAAGGACAACTGAACCTTTCAAAAAATTCAAGGCATCTGTCAACTTCCCTCTCCAGAAATGGTTTCCAAATAAGAATTTCTGACAATGTTTATACACATTGCTCCCGGTAATAGTAAGTACATTCTTTTATTCAATCTGCATAACCCTTTAAAATAGACTTTATTATTTGTTTTGTTTTACAGAAATCAGGCCAGAGGATAGTACACCAGGTAGGGAGGGCATGTGCCTTGCAGGTGGCTGACCCAGGTTCAATCCTGGCATCCCATATAACCCCCCAAGCACCGCAAGGAGTGATTTCTGAGTGCAGAGCCAGGAGTGATCCCTAAGTATCACCTAGTGTGACCCAAAAAGAAAAAAGCAAAAAGTTGTTTTACAGAAATCAAGATAGAAGTTCAGAGAAGCTTAAACAGTTTACAGAAGATCACACAGGAAGTAAGTTTCAAGAGCCAAGTCTTTAAAATCGGCTTCTTAATTTACCAGTTATCTACATAAGCTATCGCACAAAATTTTAGACTAGAAGAAAGGGGGAAATGGGGAATCAGCATGGACACCCAGAGAAATCACTTCTACACTTTTGGTCGATGCTCTTTCCTCTACACACCTGCAGGCATGCACTTAGGAAGAGACACATTTAAAAACAATGGTAAATCACACAGCACACTCGACTTGCAGTCACTGAATAGTTACACACAGGGAGATGAAGCCCACCTGCTCTGTGGAAGAGCACCGCGCCCACAGGAAGGGGGACAGCCGAGGACACACATGCCTGTGGGCCAGGTAGCAGACAAGACAGAGAGTTGCGTAGGTCAGAGGCCCACAGAAAGCTAGGGGCTAAAGAGGAGTAGCACACGAGGGTCCATCTCTGGCACCCAAAGACAGGCTCCGACAGAGCGAGCAGTGTCAGGCCGGGAGGGCCACAGACTCCGCTGCCTCCTAACTGAACCGCCAACAACAGGGAGGCTCAATGTGCAGGAACATTTCTCTCTGTCCTAAGAAACGAACGATTTTTCACCAAATTTCAGCTATTTCGTTGATGGGAAGAATTTCTTGTTTCTTTTTCATGTCCATGAAAAGAGGTCTTTATAAAGTCAGGCCAGTAACTGCCTGTCATATGTGCTCAAACTATTTTTTTTTCATAGTTTACTGGTGCTCATTTAACTCTGTTAGTTTTCTGGGTGGCCCAATTGATCACTTCTCCCTGCTTTACGGCTGCTGCCTGTAAGATCTCGTTTAGAAGGTTCTTCTCAAGATTATGACACCACCGAGCTAAATTTAGCTTATCACATGGTCACATGTTAACATTTAACCCAGCTAGAACTGAATTTGGAATGAAGACTGAGATAGGATTTTAAGTTATTAACCAGAAGGCTTCAACAAACAGGCCAGACACCATTTCCTGGTGAACTCACTCTTTCTATGCTTGTTTGAGATATCCAAACTTTTATTAGATAGTAAAATCTTACCTTTTGTGTTGAGTTTGTTTTGAAATTTCTCAGTCTTTTCTATAGAGGTGACTGTCAATTCTCAGGTCAGGAAAGCCTGTTAGATTCATTATAACTAAGCCCTAACAACCAGTATACCTTCTCAGTGCCTTATGCTAAAAATGATACAATGTCTTTTTTTTTCTTTTTGGGTCACACCCAGCAATGCACTACTCCTGGCTTTGCACTCAGGAATTACCCTAGCAGTGCTCATACGGGATGCTGGGAATCGAACCTGGGTTGGCCATGTGCAAGGCAAATGCCCTACCCACTGTTCTACCACTCCAGCCCTGATACAGTATCTTTTGACGAGTTAAATCCCAAATAAAAAAGAGTGTTTTAAATAATAACCATCAACCCTATGCATTCATGGAAAGACACTAAATCTAGCACATAGTGTAGATAACAGAAAACATGTCTGAAATTTCGTACCATCCTACTTAAGACCCTATTTAAATTGGAAATTTTGCCAAAAACTCGCTTTAGCCACGTGTGCCGTTCAAAGCAAAAGCCTGATGTACAAGCTGAAAATAGCACAACGGAACATCCGTCATGAAATATCTCAAGCTTCCTCACAGGGCTCTCCTCTCCCAGTACACATAAATAATGGTCAAGTTCACGGTGATTTGTGATATTTCATTCGTCACAGACCACAAAGGACAGTCAGTCACAATACTTCCACTCTCCCGTAGCCCGCTTCAAATCTCCCCTCTGTTTGCCAGAGGAGCCTTGAGTGTGCATATCAGCAGAATTAGAGTGACATCTAATGGTCACAAAACACGTCACACAGCATTTCTTCACAATAGAACGACACGCATATTCCAGGCCGAAGGGCTAAGGCGGGCAATTTGTCAGCGGCACACACTAAGCTCCTACTTGAAATTCCATGACTAGGTCGGCCCCGAATGATCCTGGATGATGGTCGGAAACCACGCTGCATGTTAGACAAACAACATCTCACTTCATTATTCCATATTAGTTCTCCCAGGCTCGTTTCTCTCAAACCATCAGTTCAAACGCTGCTGATAACAGTAAGTAGGTTATTAAGGAAGTAATAACCTGTCAATCACTTAACATAACCCTCAGCAGAATTCTGAGCATACCTCCTGCAAAAGAACTATTTGCATTCTGCACACTTGGAGAGCAGGTATCTGCTGCCCTCGGTTGGATGATCTGAATGTACATCACTCTCATCTTCCTCCTCTGAATAATTAGCAGGTACCGCCAAGTGCCTGGGGGAGCACAGGGTTCGCACGAGCAATCCCAGCAGCCCCGGCCAGGTAGCCCAGACAGGCCAGGAGAGCAGGAGCCCTCTCAGCAGTACTCGGCTTTCTTGCTCACCGATTCCAGCGGCTTTCAGGGTGCTGTCTTCTTTCAGCAGGAGCCTGTCGTCATCCTCCAAACTCAACACAAGTTCGTTTGTCTAGAAAGCAAGAAAATTTGTATGTCATCCAGCTTTTGTAGTGTGTGTGAGTGTGTGTGTGTGTGTGAGAGAGAGAGAGAGAGAGAGAGAGAGAGAGAGAATTGAAACTCGGAGCCTCACGCATGCAAGGCAAGGGAGTATGTTATCTCCTGCTGAGCCCCATCCCCAGCCCTCAGTTCCTCAGTTCTTTCCTGTGACTCCGATTAAGAAAGGTTCCTCTGAGACAGGCCACAGTTCCTTCGGGTTGGAGTTCTAATCTAAGTCACATACTGCCCCACTGTCCTAAGGACGGACTTGGACAGAGACTGAGCACCTGCTGAGTTCACGCCCAATACAGGCCCGAAGAGCTCAGAGCTCCATCTGAAAAGTCAGGCTCCGCCCTGCTGAGCTGCGTGTTCTCTGCCCTAACCGCAAAATTGCAGCTTCCTCGGCTATCACAAAGGAGAGCGCAAGGGCGCCTTTTCCATTGGTGTGTCAGGGTGACAGAAGAGGAAGCACATGAAACTCCCAACACTGCTAGTGTTTACAGTTCTCTGTGTGTGTAGTCGGGGTGGGGGATGGGGTCCTCAGTATCGTCTCACCTCTTTCTCACGGTAACCCAGCAGGAATCAGAGGCTGAGATGCAGACCCAGACACTGTGGAACTAAGGTTGAAGCTCTGGCTCATCTGATGTTTAATTTCGTTGTTTGTTGGAGCCCTTCCCAGGAGGGCTTGGGAAGATCAAAGCAGGGGCCACTACATGCAAGGCCTGTGCGCTACTGCGGGAGTCACATCCCTGGCCCCCCAGTCTGACTTCGGAGAGTGGGAAGCTTGCCTCAAATGTCCAGCGTCTGCATCTTTAAAGAACCTTGCCCTACCTGGCAAATGCACTGTCTCATGCCCTACTGAAACAAGAACATCTCTGGGGAACTTCAGGTCGGGGAAGTTGAGTTTGTCCTCCGCTATGCGACAATTCAATTAAACAGCATACATTTAGGAGAAAATTCTGAGTGGGTGTCTATCCCCACATAGCACATGCTGGTGACCTCTAAAGCTGGGCACAGAAGAGCATGCAACCATTTAGCCACAAAATGCCGATCTTTGAACTATAGCTAGAACTGGAGAGAGAGAATGGGGCTAAGGTACTTGCCTTGCATGCCACCAGCCTTAGTTCAATCCCAGGCACTGAATATGGTCCCGCAAAGATAGCTCTCTCTCTCTCCAGCCCCACAAAGATTTTTTTATTTTTTTTTTGGGGGGGGGATGAATACCCAGTAGTGCTCAGGGCTTACTCCTGACTCTGAGCTCAGGGATCACTCCAGGCAGTGCTCGGAGGACCGTAAAGGATGCTGGCATCAAACTCGGGTCAGCCGCACCTGGATGGGAAAGGTGATAGGCTGGGCCCGTGAAGCTTCTAGGACAGAATGCAGAAGAGGAAAGAGCCGCAAGTGGAAGAGGCATAAATGGGGGCATGTCGGTGCATTGTTCTGGAGTTTTGATATTGTATTTGCAAAAACACATGGGCTCCTTTCCTGATAAAAGGCGAAGAGGACTCTTGACTCATTCCTAGGAGATACAGTCTGCATCGAACTAGAACTATTATGGGTTGGAAGAAAGCTTGTATAAAGTCAAATTCCCAAAATATTCAAAGTGGCTTAATTTATTTTAAGAATCCTTCCTTAAATAAATACATTGCTCAAGGCTGGAGGGTCAGGAAGCTTGCCTTGCATTTGGTCAACCCTGGTTCAATCCCCAGCACTACATGTGATACTCTGAGCACCACCAGGGGTCACTATGGAGCAAAGAACCTACTACAAAGGGGTAAGAGTTGGGTTGTTTAACGGAGAAGGCCAGAGAAGAGGATTTATGGCGCCATTATAATGGAAGTAAATTTGTTTTTGCACTAAGACAACCAACAGTGACTACTTGCTGCATGATACTGTATAGAACATATATATGAAGCTTACCTTTGATTTATGTGCTTGATGAATAATCTTTAGTTTATCTGAAAGAAAAAAAAACAAGTTGTCTTTTTAAAACCATTTCTAATGTTTTTAATGAGAGAGGGCAGTGGTTATGAAACTGCAAATTTTAAGTTAAAACCAGGCTCAAAACCTAGGATCCACTATAGCAAGGGAAACGACTCAGAGTGCTGGAACACCACCTTGCTCACAAGAGTCCCAGATTTGATTCCTGGCTGTGTATAGTGGGAATTCCCCACCCCCAGCACCCCCAAAATCTAGTGAACATTAAACAAAATTAAAATACTCTGTAGATTAAACATCAAGATATCACTGTATAAAGACATCATGAAACCTTGGTCTGTGACACACCTAACTAACCATTGGAGTACTCACCTTCATCCCCTCCTCCCTGTCTCTACCACACTGGCCCCACCCAAAGTTTCCAGAACGCCCAAGATAGGCTTTCTGGAGTATCAATGGGGCAGATAGTCTGGAGAATCACAGGAACTACTGTGGACAGGGAGGGAAAGAGGGGGATCAAAGGGGGTGAGAGAGGAGGAAAGGGAAGGAGGGAGAGAGGGAGGGAGAGGGAGAGGGAGAGGGAGAGGGAGAGATATCTTGGACAGAGAAAAATGACCAGACCCAAATCAAAAGGGACATGGGGAGGCCAACCCCCTTTTCCAAAACTGGAAGCCAAGGACATGTGGGCACAGAGGCAAGTCTCCTTTCCGGGGCACCCCTTACCTTGCCCCCAACTCTCAAGTGTCCTCTTACAATAAAGCCTTTAGTGTATCCCCTCAGCCAAATTCTTTTTTTTTTGCTTGTTTTTGTTTTTATTTTTGTATTCAGGCCACTCCTACTAATGCTCAGGGGATACTCCTGGCTCTGCGCTCAGATATTACTCCTGGTGGTGCTCAAGGGACCATATGGGACCATTTGACTTGGCATCGAACCCAGGCTGGCTGCACGCAAGGCAGTCTACCCACGGTACTATCTCATGAGCCCCTACCATTTAAATTCTTTACCTAGGTTTGAACAAAGATCTTGCCTTTGAGTGCCAAGAGGGTCCTCATCCTTCTACCCCACCACTACCATCAAAATATACTACTATGTCTATGTGCCCTAATCTGATGTCAACTTGGTAAGTTTTTGTTTTGTTTTGCTTTTTGGCTTTGCACTCAGATCACTCCTGGCAGTCCATGCGCAAGATAGGCACCCCAATCACCGTACCATCTTTCTAACTGGCTGAACCAGATTCAACTCCAGAAACTCCATATGGTCTTCCAAACCCATCAGGAGTGAGCCCTGAGTTTAGAACCAGGAGTGAGCCCTGGAAATCTTTCTGAATATGCCCCCCAAAACCAGATTGTCAAATAATATAAAAAATATTAAATTGACTTAAACATTAGTCAAAGCATGTGTAAATCCAAATGTGCACATGCACACACACACACACACACACACACACACACACACCCCTCAGAATAGATTCAGTGGAAGGAGGCCAGTCATCCCACAGCCGAGCTACTACTCACTGTTTAAAAAAAATTTCATTTGAGTAAATCTGAGATATAACTGACTTTATTAAATGATCTGTGAATCTCAAAACATCTCAGATGGCAAGTAGAAAGACACTCCCATGGAATGTGGGTGGGACAAGATTATTTTAGGTCCTGCAAGTTTAGCTTCTTTTGGAAAAGGTAGATTGATTTTTATCAGGAAGATTACCTCACAAGTTCTGAGCAGGAAATTCCAGACTAATTGGTTCAGAATGCCACCCTGAGGCCTGGGAGATAGTGTGTACAGTTGAACATGGTAGCCTGGCGAGCAGCTGACCAGGTGAGATACCCAGCACCTACCTCCCACACTGCACACGGTTACCCCAGCACCACCAGAGTGATCCTGAGCACAGAGCCAGGTGTAAGCCCTGAACACTGTTGGATGTGGCCCCAAAACCAAATACACAAAACGAAAGAGGCAGAATCTGCAGTGATGTTGCATATGAAGTCTGGGTTTGATGATAAGGAGCTTGGTACAAATGACTCGGGTTGGGCGGCTAAGTCTCCCCTTTTGAACTTCACTCTTAGAATTCAAACACTACCAAGGATCCCTGGTGACCTGTGAGCAGGGCTGCTTATATCCAGAAAAGGGCACCATCTGCTTCTTTGGGGTTCAAATATTGCACAAGATCACACCACTGGATGTGTGATATTCAACAATTTCTTCTTCACACTTTATTCTTTTAGTCTTAAAGTCAGGTCATGCTATAAATTCCCAGTTAGGAATTTCTCCACATTGAGGAAAATTCTAACTCCGCCAACATCAGCTTTTAATGATGTAACAGACATCATACAATCAATTTGATGTCAGAAGTTTCCAACGCTTCCCTCAGTTTTACTTATCCTAAAATGTATTTCCACCATGTCACTTGATTCAGTGAAAAATTCCAATATTGAAATGAAATGAAGGGATTTATATTTTAAAAGAGTCCTTGATTTAGCTATATTCTAATAAAACAGAATAGGGTGCCTAACACAGTTAAGGGAGACTCTGAATTACACATTAGTCATCTTTCAATTATCAACTGTAATTTTTAGCACAAGATCATTCAGTTACCGAAGGTAATTTAAGGTAGGATCTCAGCCAACCTCATACAGCTTTATGAGATGAATTAGCAGCCCCACCCTGCCAACAACCACCATTTACTGTGTACACTGCAGGGAAATAAAATCTGACATTCTGATTAAAAAATAGGTATCTGGCATGAGGATCATTTCCTAAGAGGGGATTTGAAGGTTGGGTGAAGGTTGTGCTTTTGTAAGAGACACAGGTGTCAAAGAAAGGGCTCCTCTCTGAAATTTTGCTTAAGACCTGACCTCCTGAACTCTTATCCATGGAGATGGTAATTACTTAAAGTATGCCAGGCCTAGTTTCTGGGCCTTCCCTGGTGATGGGTCCCCACTTTGGGCTCCTTTGTCTTTGTTGTTGCTGTTATGTTTTGGGGAAACACCCAGCAGTGCTCAAGGCATATTCTTGCTGTGCCACTTAGGGATCACCCCTGGCTCAGGGGACCCTCTGTAGTGCCAGGCAAGTACCTGAACCCCTTACTATCTCTTGGGTCCCTGGCTCATTTATTTTAGAAGTGATTTCATTGATGGCTGAGGCCATTTTGGTGAGTTACCCAGTTTTATCGCTGGAGCGATAGCACAGCGGGTAGGGCGTTCGCCTTACAAGCGGCCAACATGGCCGACCCGAGTTCGATTCCTCCGCCCCTCTCGGAGAGCCCGGCAAGCTACCGAGAGTATTCGATATGCCAGACACAGTAACAACAAAGTCTCCAATGGAGACGTTACTGGGCCCGCTCGAGCAAATCGGCGATCAACGGGAGGGCCTTTACCTTCACCTTTACCTTTACCCAGTTTTATAGTTTCTCTCATGTACAGTAGGGGTAAACATTTTACTATTAAACTTTCTCTCTCTCTCTTTCTCTCTCTCTCTCTCTCTCTCTCTCTCTCTCTCTCTCTCTCTCTCTCTCTCTGTGTGTGTGTGTATGTATCTTTTTTCTTTACAATCTGTTTGAAGCTATTTGCCTGCCATCAAAATATCTAGAGAGGTAGAAAGAAATTCCTCCTAAGCCCCCTTCCCACTCCTCCATATGCACACTGAGTAAGTGATTTAAAAATAAGAAAGCGTCCGGGCCAGAGTGATAGTACAGCGGGTAGGGCGTTTGCCTTGCACGTGGCCAACCTGGGTTCGAACCCGGCATCCCATATGGTCTCCCAAGCACCGCCGGGTGTAATTCCTGAGTGCAGAGCCAGGAGGAACCCCCGAGCATCACTGGTGTGACCCAAAAAGAAAAAAAAAACTCTTGTGCTTTAGAAACACCCAACTTGGTGAGGGAAAATCAATAATGGGTACGGGTACCAATAAAATTCAAGGAGCGGCTCTGAAAAAATCTGGCAGCAAGAAGTAGCACTTTGCATTAAGATCAGGGCGGTGGAGAGATGGACAGAAAGTGAAATCAGACTCAGAGCCCTTGCCCCTCTGGGGCGTCCAGCATGCTCTTCTTCCATGGAGCAGGGAGGAAGGGCTAAGTACAGGTGAAAAAGTAACACTTTGGCTTCTTTGCTGAACGAAGCAGCAGACTGTTAATGGGTCCAACATCAGAGTTTATCAAAACCTCTGGTGATTCTCGAATTTCTTTAGAGATAAATGTGTTCATTTATTTATTCTGCCAACTCATCTGAATAGTAAAGGAAGAAAGACTAGGACACAGGATAAGGTGGCATGATATAAAAGGTCCATTATCTACCACCATGATGATCAGCACCCACATATTCTTATGCTCTGGGTGGGGGGTTGGGAGGAGGCACACCTAGGGGTGCTCAGGGCTTCCTCTTGCTCTATGCTCAGGAATCTATCTTGGCATCTTTCAGGGGACCCTCTGTGGTGCTGGGACTAAATTTGGGCTGACTGTGTGCAAGTGCCTTAATCTTTGTACTATCTTCTCTGACCCTAGCTGATGCTTTTATTAATTAAAATGTATAGTTCAAAATAAGTTACATAACACTTGTTTGAACACACACATATACACACACCATGCAAGGAAGGAAACATGTAAATATTCTCATTTAAGTGACATCTGCAGGCTAATTCAAGTTTAAGGTTATTTCAAGTCATTGTACTTTGAAAGCGTGAACTAACATGTTTCATATTTACTTAATCATTTTTAACCATTCTCTTATTTAATATTGAGTATGCAAACTTTTTTTTAATTTTTATTAGTGAGACACCATGAGGTATAGTTGTAGACTTATAAATTTTGTGCTTGGGTTTCAATTATACAATAATCAAATACCCACCCCTCCACCAGTGCTAGTATGCAAACTTTTTATGTCCAATAAGTCTAAGTATTTTCCACTTGGTGCCTCCAATTTCTCATACACCCCTTATAACCTCACAGTTAGTCACCAGATATTAAAATGCAGACACACGATGAAGATTGTGATTTCCAAGTATTTTAGGTCATAAGTTGTTCTGCCAAATGAGAACAGAATTAAAAACCACTCCAAGAATTGATCTAAGCTAATCAAAAATTTATGCTCTGAAATGTCTGTACCAAGTAACAGAGATATTTATTGGGTTCAGCATAATTTCAAATAAAGTCTCAAATTCAAAGTTTGGTATCACTTAACTTTAGATTAATAAGTATATGATCTTTACACTGAAAAGTAAAACTAAGTTTTGCTATGTAACATGCTTAAACTTCTGCTTATTTCAATTTCTAATTATATTTAAATTTTTTTTTTAATCTTAGGCACCATAGTTTACAATACTGCTAATGGTAGGAGTCCACATATAACACATTCCAGTACCACATCCTCCACTACAGTTTCCTTTTCCCTCCACCATTGTCCCAGAGTAATTATTTTTTAACTCCCTGTCTTTAATAACTTTTACTTATCTTTTTACTTGGCAATGAAATTTATTTATTTAACAAAATACAGGATTCCTGCTTCTAAATAAACTTCCAAATTTGTTAAAACTCAACAGTTAAAAAAATTTGTTTAAGGGGCAGGGGATCTAATCAGATACGTCTTCAAAGAAGACACACAGATGCTGAATAGGCAGTGAAAAGACCATGATTATCTTTTTTTTTTTTTTGCTTTTTGGGTCACACCCGGTGATGCTCAGGGGTTACTCCTGGCTCATGCACTCAAGAATTGCTCCTGGCGGTGCTCAGGGGACCATATGGGGTGCTGGGAATCGAACCTGTGTCGGTCATGTTGGCTGCGTGCAAGGCAAACGCCCTACCCGCTGTGCTATCGCTCCAGCCCCAACCATGATTCTCTTTTAACTTTTAGGGAAACACAAATCAAAACAAGAAGGAGGTATCACCTCACCCCAGAGAGAATGGCTCTTTTCCAAAAGACAAGAAACAAGTGTGGGAGAGGATGAGGAGAGAAGGGAATCCACGTATACTCGGAGTCGGGATGCACGCTGGTGCCCCCATTATGGAAAGCAGTAGAGAGATTCTCCAAAATTAAAACTAGAAACCCCATACAATCCAGCTGTCCCATTTTTGCTACTTACAAAAACAATACAAAGGCACTGGTTCCAAGAGATACACGTATTGTGTCTGCATATGTGTACCCTCCTTGTAGCACTAAACATAGCCAAGAACTGGAGGCAACCCAAGTACCCACTCACTGTTGAATGGATAAAGACACAACACAGGGACACAATGGAATGCCGTTCACTTATAAAAATCCAGGGAATCCTGAGTTCACTTATGAAAGCACAGGGAATCCTGCTAGTCGCAATAACATGAACCCAATGCCTACAGAGTATTATCCTAGTGAAAAAGGCCAGACTGAGGACCGAAGCTGTATGATTTCACTCCTGTGAAGGAAACAAGTAAAGAGATGAATTACAGAAAACAAAATTACAGAAAAAAATTTCGGAGGTTAGACAGATTGTACAGCAAATAGGGCCCTTGCCTTGAATGTGGCCGACCCAGATTCAATCCCCGGCATCCCATATGGTCCCCTGAACCCACCAGGAGTGATTCCTGACTAAAAAGTCAGGAGTAACCCCTGAGCACCACTGGGGGTGGCCCCAAAAACATAAAATAAAGTAGCACTGTACTGTAGCACTGTCCTCCAGCTGTTCATCGATTTGCTCGAACGGGCCCAGTAACGTCTCCATTGTGAGACTTATTGTTACTGTGTGTGGCATATCCAATATGTCATGGGTAGCTTGCCAGGCTTTGCCGTGCGGGCAAGATACTCTCGGAAGCTTGACGGGCTATCCAAGAGGGGTGGAGGAATCGAACCCGGGTCACCCAGGTTGGTCACGTGCAAGGCAAACGCCCTACCCGCTGTGCTATCGTTTCAGCCCAAAATAAAATAAAACAGCTGCTGTTTACCGAAGGTGAAGAGGAAAGAAAGGTGGGTGGGTGAAGTGGAGAAGGAGGCCAGATGAATTACAGTGGACCACAGATCACACTGTTGCTTGTCATTTTAATGTCATTTATATGCATGTTGGTTTTCATTGACACACACCTGAAACTTGCATAACATTATCAAGCAGTTTCAACTTTAATAGAGCTAATAAAAATAAAATTAAAATTCACAGCAACAGTAAACCATAGACTATATTAACTTTTTTTGGAAGAGGCTAACAAAACTGTTTACCGTATTTATAACTTCTGAATGGAGGTGGCAGGCTGGTCCTTACAGGCACATCTAGAAGAGAGAGATTATTCTTATTATAAAATATTCAAACAGACACACACTACACGAATACAGAACAAACAGAATCTTTTGATTCTGTTCTACACATCCAGATGTGATACATGCTCCCTGGTGGCCTAGAGGTTAGGATTCGGCGCTCTCTAGGACAATGTCATACTCTGTTACGAGGACATTCTGGGGGTCAGAAGGATGGCACAGGGCCCAGGACATGTGTTGCAAGCACAGTCCCCTGCACTGTGACATGTCTCGGAGTGATCCTAAAGGCTCCACTGTTTGTGAGTGTTTGTGACTGGCAGCCCTACTGGTGGGGATCACTGTCCCACAGGAATTTCCAAGTTCCACAACCACAAGGGGTGATCCTTGATGAGCACCACAACTAAATGTGTGAGCACTAGAGCCCATGATGTGTGTGTGATCCCGTCATTGGAACAATAGGGAAGGGAAGGAAAGGGAGGGAAGGGAAGGGAAGGGGAGGGGAGGGGAGGGGAGGGGAAGGGAAGGGAAGGGAAGGGAAGGGAAGGGAAGGGAAGGGAAGGGAAGGGAAGGGAAGGGAAGGGAAGGGAAGGGAAGGGAAGGGAAGGGAAAAGAGGAAGGGTGGGGCAAGAGGGAGGAAAGCGGCGAGAGTGCAGGAGATAGGAGAGGAAGGGAAGGGGAGGGAAAGAGGAGAGAAAATAAAAATAGACCATCCAAATCTAAGGATGGTCTATTGGTAACCCCCAAACTTGGTACATATGGACGGTAAGATGTTGAGCTGTGACAAGATATAAATCTGAGGACTCTGCGGGTTATTATTGGTCAGCAGTAGTGAAACAAAAAAGATCTAGAACAATCATACTACTCGAAATAACCTATAAGTCCACACAATTGGTGGGGAGAGATAAGGTAAGGTAAAGGTAAAGGCCCTCCCGTTGATCGTCGATTTGCTCGAGCAGGCCCAGTAACGTCTCCATTGGAGACTTTGTTGTTACTGTGTCTGGCATATCGAATACTCTCGGTAGCTTGCCGGGCTCTCCGAGAGGGGCGGAGGAATCGAACTCGGGTCGGCCATGTTGGCCGCTTGTAAGGTGAACACCCTACCCGCTGTGCTATCGCTCCAGCCCTTTGTTGTTACTGTGTTTGGCATATCGAATACTCTCGGTAGCTTGCCGGGCTCAGAGAAGAGTAAAAAAATGCTTCAAATAGTGTTTCAGGGGGGCAATAGAATAGCACAGGGCCTCTAAGCCCTGCCCTGCAAGCACATGGTTACAAGCTCAAACCCCTGGTGTTCCACATGCCTGGGGTACGCTCCTGGCAAACATGCTGTCTGAGCCTGGCAGCTCTCCTGACCATGAGCCTCAAGCCCAGTTTCCAGCCATGCCATGGTCAGGTGTATATAAGCACTACAACAGGGGGTGCAAGGTCTGGTGGGCACCATCACTAAACAAGATTTGCAAGTGCCAGTACCAGGAAGTGTGACTTCTTGTGAGCACTGTAGTGGCCCTGGTAAGCACCACAACCATAACTCATGTGCCTCAACCAAGACTGGGTCCCCTGGCAAATACGTCTATAAGCACCACCATGCAAGCAATGCAGAACAGTGAACCCCACAGACGAGCAAACAAGCACCACAACCTGAGGAACAACCTCTGCTCTCATCACAAACTCAACAACAACAGTGGGAAGGGCAAGGGCAAACGGAATAAAAGAAAAAAAATCAGTCAAATAAAATCAAATAAGATACTACTTCTATTTAAAAAAAAAAGTGTTCCAAACAACAGTATTCATTTGGCTTTCTCATTTTTTTAAACTGTTATTATTTTGCTATCGCTCCAGCACAGCGGGTAGGGCGTCTGCCTTGCACGCAGCCAACATGGCCGACCCAAGTTCGATTCCTCCGCCCCTCTCGGAGACCCCGGCAAGCTACCGAGAGTATCTCGCCTGCACGGCAGAGCCTGGCAAGCTCCCCGTGACGTCTTCGATATGCCAGACACAGTAACAACAAAGTCTCCAATGGAGACGTTACTGGGCCCGCTCGAGCAAATCGATGATCAACGGGAGGGCGTTTACTTTACTATTATTTTGGGTTTGGGGCCACACCCAGCTCTGGCTCAGGGCTGACTTCTGGCTCTGTGCTCAAGGATTGCTCCTGGCAGAGCTCAGGGGATCACATGGGGTGCCAGGAATGGTACCTGGGTTAGCCATGTGCAAAGCAAGCACCCTACCCACTGTACTATCTCTCCAGCACTCACTGGCTTTTTTTTTCTTTTTGGGTCACACCCAGCGATGCACAGGGGTTACTCCTAGCTCTGCACTCAGGAATTACTCCCGGTGGTGCTCAGGGGACCATATGGGATGCTGGGAATCGAACCTGGGTTGGCCACATGCAAGGCAAATGCTCTACCTGCTGTGCTATCACTCCAGCCTCTCACTGACTTTTTTAATAAAAGCCACAGTCAATGGTGCCAGGGATGGAACTCAGGGTCATACGTATGCAAGGTGTATATTCTAGTACTTAGCCATATCTCCAGCTTTATTCTTTCAACAGTTCTGGCAGGAGTGTGGAGAGAAAGGAAACTTTATACACTGTTGGTGGAAATAGAAATTGACTTACCTTCTTATGGAAAACAATATACAGACAGTTCCCTAGACATCAAAAATAGATCTAACAGATAGCCAACAATTCCACTACCAGGTAACTGCTAGAAGAACATACATGCCAACTCAAAAAGACAAGTATGGGGCTGGAGAGCCAGTACAGAAGGTAAGGTGCTTACCTTGTGTGCATTAAACTGGATTCAATCTGTGGCACCCCTAAGGGTCCCCCTAAGCACCACCCCCTAAGCTCTTTGAATACAGAGCCAGGAGAAAGCCCCGAGCACAGCCAGATGTAACCCAAACTGCCCTTCCCCAGAAGAGATAAATGTGAATACCTCCATTCACTACTGTACTAGTATTCAAAATATAGAGGCAACCAAGAGCCCAACAACCATGCGGGGAAAAGAAGCTGTAAGATAAACACAGAATGAAATCACACTCAGCTCTGAGAAAAGATGAAACTCTGCCTGTTACAACCACGTAGGAGGGAATCATGCTAAGCAAAGTAAGTCAGAAGGTCAAAGATAAATTCCAGACATCACCCTCATATGCGGGATCTCAAAGCAATAGAGGCAGGGAACAAATATATCCAAAGAGAAACAAACCCGTAAAATTCAGCACAGCTAAAGGGTACCAGAGTGGGGAGGAGGAAACCCAACCGTACTTTAAGTCAAAATTGTGAAAATAAACAAGACACTGTTGTCAACACAAGGCTCTCTGGGGTCAGGATGCCTCTGCCAGAACCTCATTTGAAATTCTGGCTTAGTTCAACACAGATGCTTGATGTCACCCCTTTTATTTCACACTCACTTAGGAAATGTGGGCCAAAGAAATGTTAGTTACGTGCCAGAGAGATAGTATGGGGCAGCCAACCCCATGTTATGCTGGGTACACGGTTCCCTGCATCCAGGGCATCACAGGAAGCAGCCCTGGAGACCTCAGGGATTTGCAGGCGTGAGCACACAGCAGTGAACTGCCAACTGGCTGGCTGAGAATCACAGAATCACATGTTTTGCGGTTTTTTAGTTGCTTAAGGCATAAGAGTAAGTCATTAGATTCCTGTCATTCCACCTTGGCTAGAAAAGGTCTGCAATGCAGTTATAACAATCTGAGAACTGGGTCGGAGTAATGGTACAGCAGGTAGGGCATTCACCTTGCATGTGGCCGACCTGGGTTCTCTCCCTGGCAGCCCACATGAGCCTCCAGGCCAGCCAGGTGTGAGCCCTGAGTGCAGAGTCTGGAGTAATCTCTGAGCACCACCAGGCGTGGCTCCCAAAGGCAGAATAGATAGATAGATAGATAGATCAATCGATCGATTGATCTGGGAATGAGATCCATTTTGTAGTTTATTTTTAATTATTCTGCCATTGTGCCCTTGAACTTAATTTGGGGACCCAAACGATATATTTGGTTTGCCTGTTTATTTGTTTAGTGGTTCTGGAGATGGAAGCCAGGATCTGACCAATGTGAAGCATGTTCTCTGCTGCTGAACCTCATCCCTGGCCTGGGACGCAATGAATATTTTACAGAAGTACTCAGAATTGCAGAATTCTTTTTTTAAAAAAATTGAATTGGGGCTGGAGCAATAGCACAGCGGGTAGGGCATTCGTCTTGCACATGGCCGACCCAGGTTCGATTCCCAGCATCCTATATGGTCCCCTAAGCACCGCTGGGGTAATTCCTGAGCGCAGAGCCAGGAGTAACCCCTGTGCATTGCCAGGTGTGACCCAAAAAGCACCAAAAAAAATTGAATATTCATTATCAAAAAGGAACAGGAGACCAGGAATATAGCTCACAGGGAAGTATTTGCCTAGCAAGTCTGAGGTCCTGGGTTCAATCCCCAGCACCACCAAAAAAAAAAAAAAAAGAAAATTAATAAAAAAGGAGTATCACGAGAAGGCAACAGAGACGTAACTGATTCATTTAGCTCTCCATAAAAGAGATTCATAGAAAAATTATTCTATGAGCAACCTGAAATTAATTATGAATTAAACATAGAACTTTAATCATTCTATGAAAATGTGACTTATGTTCTATCAAAAAAACAAAGCAACTTAATACACACAATTGATTACAGAAAGGAGTCTGCAATGTTAAAGCCCACATTTCAGTAGAAAAATCAATGAAGTCTGGAAACTTATTAAAATATTAATAGACAAAAGAGTAATATTCTACCTCATAGTAAAAGCTTAAAATATAGATGTGGTGCTATTTATAACTTTTTATTAGGTGCTGGGATGACATCTGAAAACTTTTAGGGAAAGCATAAGCACCTAATAGGAAAAAGAAATTGAAATAAGATAGTATGGTCATGAAGCCACTTGCTTTGTATGGGGCTGACGTGGGTCTGATTCCCAGCAATACATATGGTTCCTTGAGCACTGCCAGGAGTGACCCCTGAGGCAGAGTCAGGAGTA